GAGAGGAGAGAGGACAGAGGACAGAGGACAGAGGACAGAGGACAAAGGACAAAGGACAGAGGAGAGACCCTGTTTAGGATCCACAAGAATCCCCATTAGTGTCTGAGAGACTTCAGTGGTGAAACACCACAACCAGGAGAATATCCAAGGCAGAACGTCCAATTCTTAATTTACCACTAATGACTTGTGAGAGTAAAAACAGTTTGAGCGACACAGGACAAGGCCGGTAAGAGCAAGGGGCATTACCAATGCCAGAGATGGCGCCCAAGAGGTCTTTGTGCAGGCTGTGGTCCAGTGTGTTTCCCTTCTGTGGCGTCATGAGTGGATTCCCAGCTGGTATGGCAAGGGGCTCATCCTTTACAATCTGCCAAAGGGAAGAGAAGAAACTATTTGAGCTGGTTGAACAAGCTTCACAGACTGATCTTCAAGTGTGAAGACAAGACACATAACATCTGGACATGTTCAGCATCTCTAGTGGGTAGGCAGATCCACAGGGCACACAAGAGAGGAGGTGGTAGAGGGACCAGAGGAGAGCACAGAGGAGGCCAGGAATACCAAGGTGAGGAGGCAGAGCAGCCCGATTCTGGTTCCACCCATCTCTCCTCCGGCCCACACAGCTCTACCATCTTGCCCTGGTCACACTCCCATTTCTTGCCTCCCAGGACTCACTGAAGCCTTTTCTCCTGTCCTTGTAAGTCAGAGGCATGAGCTACGGTCTCTGGATGCTCAGGTGGGAACTCGCTGTCAGCGGAGAAACTGCACTAATTTTAAATATACCAAGAAGGTGGATTTTACTTTGGTGAAACCCAAAGCAAGACCTGTTCGTTTCCCCCCGGATTAGAACAAGACAGGGAGGTCACGTGCTGTCCTGAATTTCTCTGCTCAGAGAGGCACATGGAGTCAAGGATACACATGTGGACAGTGATCCAGAACAATGTCAGATCAGTGAGTGAGGCCGGGGAGGATAAAGTTTACACCATTTGAACAGAAAAGTGAATGCTACCAACCTGGATCCTCTTAGATATTATTTAAGGGTGCATAGTGTAAACAATAGCGCAGTGTGGGGATTAGAGAGGTGGTCCAGGGGTTAAGAGCCCTGGCTGTTTGCCTAAGGACCTGGTTTGATTCCCAGCACCTACGTGGTGGCACACAATCACCTGTAACTCTAGTTCCAGAGGATCCAACACCTTCTTCTGGCTTCCATGGGCACTGCACACAGATCAAGGCAAAACACCCATACACATAAAAACAAACACATATCAACCAAACAACCAGGAAATTGCCCAAGTGTGTGCCACAAAGTGGCCGGATTAACAGTGGAGTCAAGAATGGTCAATATAAGGGCAAAGGTTTCAGTGATGTCTGTAAAATCATTAGCAGATAGAGATACTGAGGCCAGGAAAAGGGCTTGAGGAAGAAAGAATACATTTTGGTTTATGAAAATTTGATATAGAAATGTATTATACAAAAATCTGATAAATTTTAATAATTAAAAATGGGCTGAGTAGATGGTTTTGGATAAAGCACTTCACGATCAAACACAAAGACTTGAGTTCAGATCCCTAGCAACTACCTAAGAGCTGGCCGTGGTGGCATGTGGCTGTGGCCAGCACTGGGGGCGGGAGCAGATCTCCAGAGCTCTCCAGGCATCCATTAGTCAGTGAGCAGCAGCAGGTTCAGTGAGAGGCCCTGTCATTTTCCCCAATAATGTGGAGAGTGACTGAGGAAGACGATGACCTCTGCCCTCTACACACACACACACACACACACACACACACACACACACACACACACACTGTGAGCACTTGCTTTTCATTACAAGTTAATATGGAAAAAGCCTTTTGCAATTGAGTTGTAGCCGGGAACTGGATGTTCATGCTTTGAAAATGTTGAATTCTAGGATGATTCCAAGAATCTTTATTTATTTTATGGGTATGACTGTTTTGCCTGCAGGTCCCATGTTCCTCTTCCTGACATCACTGACTTACAGTCTAATGAAGAGAAACAGAGCTCAAAGAGGGGGCTTTCCCAAGATGGGCATGGGGTGCGGTCAGAACCAAGGCCTACGTGAGCAGAAAGGGACAAAGGTTAGCGCTACGCCATCTTTTTGTTCCTTGATCCCTGTATTATCTTACTTGAAAATGGTATCTTTTCACATACAGATCAGATGTAAGTTAAGAGGTCAGACTGGGTGGGCCCTCAGTTCGGGACAGCGGGTGGGCTCACAAAGACGGAGCACCCTGTGCAGACTGAGGCCACGTGAGCCATGGCAGCTGCTGCCCGCGATGGCAGAAGCGAGGGACCACCGCTCCCGGCAGCCTCCCCGACTTTGTACTCTTCATGGGAGGGAACAGAACTCCACGTTCTGAGTCATGGAGTCTGCAGCACCCGGTTAGAGCAGCCCCAAGGACATGGAGCGGTGCAGTCACCGGCTCTGCTTACGTACACTGCCTGGGTTCACAGGGAAGGGCGACACGTCCCTCACGTTGATTCGCTGGACGTTTTCAATGAGCAGACCAAACAGAGGCAGGTAGAGAGTGGCTATCCTTGCCTGATGGCTCTGAAAAAAGACAGATGCGGTGAGTGTGTTCCCTGGGTCTGAGCCACGGACCGCAGAGTCCGTTACACTGGCTGTTCGGACCTTTGTCTAATTAGTGATTTCCCTTACACCACTGAAAATGAAGGACATTCTCACCCTCGAAGTGTATCTGTCATCGAAAGAATGCTTTATCAGCAGGTTCTTCAGCATGCTGATGGCAATGACGCGGACCTCCCGGAACTCCTGGAGGGCAGTGCCCACCTCCCTTAGTAACAATCCCACCAAGAAGTGGTTTCTGCAGAACTCATCCGTTAAGGAGTAGTCAAGCTGGAGATCTGAAAAGAAGAGGCACACAGTACTTAGGTTCAGGAGGGTCCAGTGTCGCCTGAGCCAACGAGGCATGCCGTCTGTCTCCACTCGGCCACCGCTGTGTGGCTACGGGGGCGAGACTCTGCCTCAGTGGGAAAACGGGTGACTCTGCAAGGTGCCTTACTCTTGACACTTCAAATTCTGTTAGGAAAACCAAACTGAAATACAAACAGCTGCCCTGGATTTTGAGTGTGGAACTGAAGTTACTACCAATTTTTAGGATTTACAACAGTGATCATATAAAAAATATGTTAATGACAAATTAAAAAATGAAGTTATTGTATTAACTACAAAAGATTGATTTTTTAAAAATAAAACCATATCACTAAAGAATTAATACATATAACTTATTCAAATGTCATTTACTTCCTGAGTTCAGCTATCCTTTCTCTGGCTATCAATGCTTGTTACAGCCCCAATAAAATCAATGTATTTTAAATGATACAGCAGCACATAACTTATTTATTCAGCTTTCATGAAACGAATACACTATTTCTGCAGTCTTTTCTAAAGTGTCCCTCTTAAACTAAAACTGGAATGCACAATGTAGCAAACCAAACCAGTAACTCATCCGCAAGCAGCATGATAAGGCTGAGAGCTCATCTGGAAAAGAGGGGGGCAGACATGAAGCCTGAGGAAAGGGGGCAATAAAAGCGATTACACATGCCCCCAAGCTGCAGAAGCACAGAGGAGGACCGAGTCAGCACACTGACACCACCATCCAACAAAGTCCTACGGACCCTCCTCTGACTTCCAAAGCCTTCCTGATAGTTCCCTTGAAGTCCCCAACACACTGGCAGAAGTCCCTACTGAGCACATCAGCAGCAAGGAAGGAGCTGTTCCTCCAGAACGATCATGTGAGGCTGCTTACTAAGGCTGGGGCTCCCCTAAATCTCTTAAGGAAGAAAATGACTTAGGTCTCACTAAGCCTGCCTTAGAGTCCAGTGCTTGACAACAGTGGACGCACAGAACTCAGTCATGGGGACCCAGCATGCAAACACAGAAAGCTCATGAAAAAGCCATGTGTCTACGCTCCTGATGCCTCCAGGGACAAGGGCTGTGAGAGCGGTGAGGTGTGATTTGGGGGTGAAGCAGGGCTTCATCTTAAGACAGCATGCCAGAGAATCTAGACACACTCAAGGAGCAGAGAATGTCTGGGGCGTGACAGCAATGTCTTCGCTCCATGGGAAACAAATGCACCCATTCATCAGAAACTGGAAACCTACAGAGACGTCTCAATGAACAGCGTATGAAGCAGCTGAGCGATCACTTGCATTCCTTTCTTTTTAAAACTGGAGGAAAATGCAAGGGCAAGCCTCTGCCCCACACCTACCTACAGGAGTGTCATTGGACTCCACAGCTGGAGAGAGAAAAGCTCATTTACAGGAGGGGAGAGCAAAACAAGAACAAATGCAGTAAATAAGACAGATTTCTGTTAAGAAAAAGAATTTAAAATGAAAACCAAGTCATGATGTCTATGTCTGGTAAACCCGGAAAAGCTTCAGATCTGCCCTTAATAAGTATGGTTGTCTCTCTGCTGAAAAGCCAGTTTCTATGTAAGATTTTATCAATGACTGTGGGAATAGAAACTTCACACACACACACACACACACACACACACACACACACACACACACACACATACACACACCAAAACACTCATCCATGAATAAAATCAAATTAGGGGATAACATTTAAATTGATACTTTTCTTTTTACAAATGATATCGTTCTCTTTGTGAGAAGATGAACCATGTAGGGACAGATTACCTTGGTATCTCTGAATCCTGCCCTTTCCAAACGGCATCGGCAAGTTCAAAGGAATATAGTGCTCATGGTTGCACACCACACGGAGAAACTCAAACTTGTACTCAAAAAGAGTCTGCAGGAAGAAATGTTTAGACATGAGAACCTCGCTGGATGCTGTATATACGATGCTAATAAACGTATCAGAAGCAAAGTGCGTAAGCATTTAGTGCTAGCTCCTTGGCGCATGGGGACTGAATGATTGTTTCTTTATAGATGTTCGGATGGCTGCAGGATTTGTGTGAAAACCAAGAACACACTTCATTAAATGATGCCTTCAGCAGACTTTAAGGCATTTATTATTTATGTTCCTCGTGTCTACAAAGGATTTCAGGTAGCTTACAATTACACAGATTCAATACATTTAAAAAAAAGTCAGTAAGCTGGGAGGTAATAAAGATAATTCTGTCAGAAAGGCTACGTGGTTACTTCTTTGGTTTTGGTAAATGATCTGGTTAAGCCATTTTCAGTGCTGAAGAACAACTGCCATCAGGAGTGCCTACTTCTTATTTGGGGCTACTTGATCCCCAATACCTCACATTTATGCACACAAGTAAGTGCCAGTACATCCAAGAGGGGAACGAGGTGTGCCTCTAGAGGAACAAAAGACAATTCTGACGAGAATTGAGAGGAACAGGTGGGTTCCCAGATGTGAACGGGCCATCCAGACTCAAGGAACAGTGCCCGAGGGCTACGCTACCTTGGGGTCTCCAGGAGCAAAGCAGCTGATGTAGTTGTTGATCTGCTTGAAGACAAAGCCCCTGTCCATGAAGGTGAAGCATCTCTGTGGACGACACAAAGAGCCGTCAGCTGAGACCCACGGTTTGCAGAACGCTGGCTTCTGGTCAGCACTCACTGTTCCTAAGTTTATGCTTTGATGTAAGCACACACCCTCTACTTGTCAGAGCGCTTCTGTTACCACTCCTGTGGGTAGCTGCTTAGAAAGCACACCACAGCGGTGCCCTCTCCCTGGAGGTCCCACCTTGGTGCCCTCCCCCCGGAGGTCCCACCCCGGCGCCCTCCCCGGCAGGCCCCACCTTGATGAACACAGCTAGGCTGTGGTTCGCGTTCTTAGACGCCTCCGGGTTGTCTCGAAACTTCTGCGTAATGTGTGGCATCAGCATGTTCACCACAGTCTCCACCGCATGATGGTAGGAGGCTGGAAATCTCTGGTTCCGTAGTAACTGAAAGAGATCCAGAGCAAACATTTACGATGTTTTAAGTTGTAACACTTAGGGGTGGGGTTATCTCAGCTCCAAGTCCATTAAAAAACAAAACAAAACAAAACAGTTCTAATCTAGCTTGTCTGAAATTGGATGAAGTGATTCACATTCTTCCTAATGCAGTCTAGTAAGCCTGCTGAAAAGTAACTTTCCATACACTGTTTTATCAATAGTTTTGGGAATGGAAATCTCACAAGCAAAAAATTTAACCCAATTTTTAAAGTCAAATTATAGTATAGTATTTGTATTTGTATTATAAAAATGCTCAAATTCATCAACTATTTGGAACTGCTTTGACATGACAAAGAGAACCTTGGTAGTTCTTATAAATGAGGATAGAAATTCTCTCCAAGAGCTTTGGCAGGAAAAAGGACAGGAGCCTGTATTTCCTCTGAGCACCTATGATGCTAGCATTTCTCAGACACTATGATATTCTTTATTCAAAATTTAAAAAGCAACTTTGTGGTGTGTGTGTGTGTGTGTGTGTGTGTGTGTGTGTGTGTGTGTGTACATGTATACATTCTATAGCACGTGTGTGTGGAGGTCAGAGAACAACTATTAAGAGTTTTTCTGTTCTCCCACCAGGTGGGTCCCAGGGACTAAACTCAGGTCATCAGGGCTAAACGCCTTTGCTCACTGAGACATCTTGCTGGCCCTTCTCAGAGAAAGGACTGTGTAGGCTTACGCTCCAAGTATTCAAACTACACACACACACACACACACACACACACACACACACACACACACACACACACACACACACATTGACGAATGCACATGGCCAGTTTAAAGGGCACGGCAGCCTTCTGCTGCCAAGTTCACATAATGATCTGTCTTCTCATTAATGTGTACCAAAAAAGTGCTGACTACTTAGCCATCAGCTGTGTTTATTATCACACATCTTCTACCTGGCAGGCACTTGCACCTCATACTCTTCCTTACTTCCAATCCTTGTATGATCCTTATGACTCAGGCCCCGTTACAGACGGTGAGAGCGCGTAGGTAAATGCATGCTTAGGCACACAACTCAAGTGACTCCTATCCACATCTACCAGGAATCCGAAGTCTTCTGCCAGATGAGACCACACCGCTTCTTCCCTGACTCCATAAACAAAGCTACTTACAGATGAAGCAAGGAGGGAGTTCAGCTAAGCCTCCACCAACCCATCGTGGATTTAATTCCAACAGCCACAAGAACAGAGCACCTCAGCTTACAAACAAGGAAGCCAATGCCTAAGAGCTCAGTATAAAGTCCCAATTACCCCTTAACAGCCTTCCGTTTCTTCTCCCCTTCGATGACTGGACCTGTCTGAAATGCAGGGGCAGCAGCTGCCCCTAGAGACTCTATTTCCCAGTCTAACATAACAGCTGGATGTGGGCCATGTGACTAGGTTCCGTCTAATGGGCTGCACAGGGTGGCAGGTCCTCCCAGGCCATGTTCAGAGAAGCAGACTGCTTTTGTTCTTTTCTTTTCTACGCTGGAATATGCTGTGATGATGAGCCAGTTCCAACACGGTCGGAGAGGGTAACACCCGAGGCTGGATAGCCAGATGGGAGGTTGAGTTCCTGCATGACCCTGGGGGGACAAGCCGTCCTCTCCAAACCGCCTACCAGCTCGTGATTTTCCTGTCACAGTTGAACCACTGTGGTCTGGTCTGTTGTACAAGCGCCAGGATGTCACCAAGCAGGCCACACTTCGAGACTGCAGTCAGATCGGTATCTTTCTGATGTGAAACTATGCGTAATTTTATGCATTAAACACCAGACCCTGTCATGAAGATTTGAAGTGCCTATTTTTAATCATTTCAATTAACACAAGGACAGTTTTCTAAGCACACACACACTCAAGAACCCAGTGAAGTAGGATCAAGTTATATGAATACGAATTTAACCAATTCTTTAAAATCTTGCTTTGAAAAGGATTTTGTTCCTGGTGTACCAATCACTTCATGTCCTGGGACGACCACGCTGAAAGGCGATTGGCTTCTAGAACCCACACAAAAGCCAACTCACCATCAGGCAAGATTGCTTACTACCTAAGATGGCCAATCCCGGGGAAGTGGAGTCCCAAGAAACGCTGCTGTCTTTCATTGCTGGGCTGACTCAACAGCTACAAACCCAGGGAAAATGTTTTATAAAAGACCCTTGTCATGGACGGGAAACACATTAACGAATATTATCACCAAAAATGGGACTATCACACATATATGTTCTTGACAGCATATAACAGTACTAGCTATGAAGTATCCCTGCCAGAAAGAATATCAAACCAAGTGTCTAAATTTTAGCTGCAAGCATGTAGGTAACGTAGGAGCCATATCACATAACATTGTGGGATAACAACTGGCCAGTCCTAGAACTCAGGAAATTCTGCTGGACAAATACCACAGTTTGTTTGTTTGTTTGTTTGTTTAGCACACACACTGCACTGAAAACAGAGAGGAGACAGTTTGAGAATTAAAGAAAAAAAGCAAAACACAAAATCAAACCAACCCCCTGCCCCCAAATCCGAGAAGCACATCAGCTAAATGCGGTGTACTTGGGCCTTATTTACATTCCGACTCAGCCAAGCCAACTGTAAAACGATGTTTTGGGGACACCTGCGGGAAAGCTGAATACAGTACGGTGTTAGAGGTTAACGGAGGCTAATTCTGTCTCAGAGTCATGCAGTAGTGATATCTTTTAAAAAGCCTTCCCTGTCAGAGATTGCGAGGGCGGGCGCCAAAAGCAGGAGCTGCAGACATGTCGCTGACTGCTCAAGCTGAACCGTTGGTCACATTAAATGTATCACGCCACCCTCTCCACTCTGTGTTCAGATGAATCTCTGCCGTGAGTTTATAGTTTCACAAGTGCTGATGCACGATGGACGATTTACATGTCAACCCATCAGTAACGCCGTCACCAGTCACACTGCAAGGGTCACTCGGGGCCTCTGAAAGCTGTGGGACACCCTCCTGGCAGCCACAAACAGCCGGAGTAAGGAATTCTGTTTTGACAATAAAACAAACTAAGGCCTTTTTTATGTGGTAAGACGCACATTTGGAGGCTGTAAAAGTAATAATGACCTAGGTAATTAGATGCTTTTATGGAGATCACTATAAAGTGAACTGAAAGGGAAAATAAAATCTAGGATAATGGGGCCGGCGTGCAGAGTGGGAATATACAAGAACAGCTCCAAGGGGAGAGTCCGAGACACAGACTTCTCAGGCAAGCAGAATCTCACTCCTCAGCCACAGCCTGGCACAAGTGTCTCCACTTCTCTGTCTCCTATGCCCCAGGCACGGCCACACGTTGCCCGAGGGGATTACAGTTGTGAGCCATCACGTGGCTGCTGGGAATCGGGCAGGGGCCCTCTGCAGGAGCGGCAAGTGCTCTTAACCAACCGGCGAGCAGTCTCTCCAGCCCCCGGGCTTCATTTAGTCGGTTTTGCTTTGTAGTCCAAGCTAGACTTGAACTCTGACTTCCCCGGGGCTGGGATTATAGTCATGCACCACGACACTCGGTTAAATTCAGACTGTCCAAGTGCAGAGTCTGGCAAGTTCTGACGGACGAACGAGTTGCGTAACCAGCGCGATCAAGGAGCCAGCCCAGTTCTCCCAGGCCCACTCCTCCATGCCTAGGTCCTAACGGTGGGCGTCATTTTCTATCCCTAAATCTTTCCTTTCCTAGATTGTCTTAAATGTAAATGAACCCATCTGTGTAACATTTGGGGTCTGAATTTTACTTCAATACTCCTAAGAGTTGCGCATAGTTTTGCAAGAATAAGCAGTTGGGTTTTTGTTATTAATACTAAGTGGTATTCTGTCATACTGCATCACCAACTACTTGCCTACCCATTTCCCATCGCATGGGCGTTTGGGTTGTTTCCAGGTTTTAGCTGTCGTGAAGAAAGCTGCTGTGCACCTTCATGCACAGGTCTTTGTGTGGCTGGGTGCTTTCGTTCCCTTTCATCAAAACCTAGAAGGGAATGGCTGGGCTGGAGGAATAGCTCCAGCTTACCGTCCTAGGTCATTCATTACACTATTCACATTGCTGAGTGTGACCTGATGCCTCTGCCTACGACGCATTCTCCTTCCCCTAAGTGTGGCATCCTTCAAGGTCCAAAGTTCACCTCCATGTCCGCCTTTGCTTGCTTGGCTCCCACACACACCTTCCTACACCCTGTTTTCATTGTCCTGACTGGGTAGCTCCTTTTCCAACCACCGCGGCGGCTTCAGGGTGGAGGATGTGCCCTCGCCCTTTATGGTTTTCTCCTGCATTCCACATCTGACAAACAGCTACTCACAGACCCGGGGGCTGGAAGCTGGGTGGTGACATTCTGTCTGCCACACAGGCACAGGGGTGCTCAGGTTTGCTTTAGGGAAAGCCCAAACAATCTACTTGTTTAGTGCACTTTCAAAATAAAAACTCTTGCCTTGCATGAAGGCTAAGCAACAGCACTTAGGACATACATGCTTCCTACCTCTGTGGGCTTTCCACACTCTCTTCTTGAGGACACCTGTGGGATGTCAGGACTTGGTTTGACACAGCGTGGGAGGAAGAGGTGGGAAGCAAGTGTGAAGGAATTACAGTTACTAAACATAAGTGAAAGAAGTTCCCAAAACATCGCCCACGAATGCAGAGTCAGAGAACTTCCCAGCAGGCCCTGCTGCCATGAGTTTTACACCTTCCTCAAAAACTCAGTGTGAATTCCAAGCACCTGCCTCCTCTGATGGCCCTGAGTTGGGCTCAGTCACACGCACTGGACCCTCTGATTTCCTGAGTCGGGCTCAGCCACACACACTGGACCCTCTGATTTCCTGAGTCAGGCTCAGCCACACACACTGGATCCTCTGACTCCCTGAGTTAAGCTCAGTCACACGCACTGGACCTCTGACTCCCTGCGTCGGGCTCAGGCACGCACGGCATCAGAAGCTAGAGGTCCACCTTCTGGAGCTGCTTTCAGTGCCAGTTCAGGGAACGCTTCAAATGTAGCTGACAGATGGGGACTGGAAGGTGTCCCAAAGAAAGCAAAATGGTTTCCACATTAATGCTTCCATGCCAATATGTGCGGGAGCATCACCCATCCACCGTTAGGATGTGCACAGCTGTACACTGAAGGTGTCCCCACAGCTCTTCACACTAGATCCCCAAAAGTAACAACAAAGCTGCATCAGCTCCCATCCCAGCCCAAGGCCCAGGGGTGCAGGATGCGGGATGAATGGGTACCTCAGGAAGACTCACCAAGGAGGAAAGCAAAGTCTGCAATAGAAAGATATCCGAATAAATTCAGGATATTTAGATAAACATATAAAAACTCAAGAGGATTTGACCCAAGAAGGAAATCATGAATGATAAAAGAACTTGTTCCCTAAACTAAGAACATATGTGTGTGTGATGTGTATGATGTGTGTGGTGTGTATATGTATGTATGTGCTGTGTGTTGTGTGTAATGTGTATATATGTGATGTGTGTGGTGTATGTGGGGTGTATGTGGGAGTGTGAGATGTGTGTGGTGTGTATGTATGTATGTGTGTGATGTATGTGGTATGTGTGGTGTGGTGTGTGTGATATGTGTGGTACAGTGTGTGTCTGTGCTGTATGTGTATATGTGTAATGTGTATGGTGTGTGTGATATGTATGTATGCGTGCTGTGTGTGTGTGTGTGTGGTATGTCGTGTGTGCTGTGTGTGTGTATGTGTGTGTGTGGTGTGTGGTGTGTGTGTGTGTGTGTGTGTGTGTGTGTGTGTGCATGCATGTGCGTGCACAGCACTTGCAGCAGCTTCGTGTCAGGAGGCCTAGATGGACAGGCAGCCTGTGGGAAGCAGGAGGGCACCTCTAGCACAAGCAGGCGGGGCTAAAATGGAAGATCCTTTAGAGTGTCGGGAGGGGCTCCTGAGTCTCCTTCAGAGTCAGCTCCACTGGGGCTCCACTCTAGAGACGGAGCTCTTACAGGCTGGGGCCAGGACTGGATAGGGAATCGGGCTGTTCACCACCCTCTAAACATCGTTGCAGGACTAAGACCACGGAGGTAGGAAAAGACTGAAACTCCAAAGACAGACAAAGCATTTCTTAGAGCAGAGGTGGGGGAGCCTGTAAGGCTGGAAGGGGCGGAGCCCCTCACGGGGCTGCTTTCTCCAGCAGTTCTGGGCTCCACGAAGCCACGTGATCTGGAAAGATGATTCCAAGGCTTAGTGACCACCAAGGTCCCTGCACATGCTCCACCTAAACTCCTTTATTTTTGTAACACTGAAGGGTTATCTGCTGAGCAAAACAGGTACACTTAAAAGATAGTCAAGTCACAATGTCCTCTGAAGTGATCTTATTTATCTAGGATTAAAACATAAAAATTATCCCAGGGCTTTTTTTGTAGGTTGAACTACACTCCCAAATTCATATCTTGAAGATGAGTTTTTTTCCCTAGGTGCTTGCTCATGCGTTTTCCCTGGCACCACCACCACTCCCCACCCCTGCGTAGGCATGTGTGTGCCTTAACCTGACCGCGGAGGTCAAGGGACAACCTCAGGCATTGGCCCTCATTGGCCCTCACCTTCCATCTTGTTTGAGACAAGGTCTCACTACAGCAGTACTGGGATTACAGAAACGTGCAACCCAGCCTGGCTCTCCAGAGACATGGACTCAGGTCCCACGCTTCCATATCCACGGAATCATCAGCTCAGCCCATATGCTGAGGTTGTAGCACTCCAGAAACATCCCAGTGGGGGACTGTGTTTGGAGCCAGGGTCTTAAGGAGAAACTAAGGCAAAATGATGTCATCAGGGTGGGCATAATCCAAAGTGACAGGTGTCATCACAGAACATAAACCTCTGCAGGCGAAGCAACGATCCATAAGCAGAGTAGAGACCTCAGAGAGGTCAACCTCACGGTTGGAGGAAGCTAGAACTTCCAGCTTCTGAACTCTGAGGAAGTAAATGTCTACTATCTGATCCGGGGCCACAATGGAAAATCCGCAGGCTAGAATCCTGTTGCACTTATGATATGTTTGACTGAAAAATAATATAATCAAATGGTATGTGTAAGAGCACACGTTTGGCTGCATACTGCTTGATTCTTCCTTGGCAGCATGATTTGGCATGAATTTAGAGGGTGCACATCTCTGTGCAAGGCAAGCAACACCCCCCTCCATCTGGCGTCTTCCTGTGCACTAAATATCAAAATCTTTAGGTTGGACTGAAACAGGAAAAACAAACAAATAAAGAGACCAACTGGCGAGGATCAATGCCTGCTCAGCAGGTGAGGTATGTCTGCAGGTTCCGGGCCACCAACCTTCTGCTCAGCAAAATCTGGTGGCCCTTGCTGTGGGAACCCATTCTGGGGTTCCTCGTGGCTTTACCCAGCAGGTCTGCACTGAGTGCAGGGGTCTGAGATGGTCTGCACTTGGCTGTGCTGGGGGAGGGGGTCTTTTGCTCCACCCCTTGGCGTCTCTATAAAAACCCTGGGCCAGAGACAGTCCGGGCCCGTTGGAATAGGTTCCAGGCCCTCTCGAGGCTATCCTTTATTTTCTATCTGTTTATCTCCACAAGATTCTCCGCTATAAATCCTTCTATCTAATATTTCCTGCTGCTTGCACTCAAGAAAACTCTGGGGAACTGTGGGGGTGGTGGGTAAACGCCCCACACCTTGCCTAGGATTCCTCTGAGGAACCAGAGCCCTTGAGCCAAAAGGCCAAGGTCTTGAGCCTCTGATGTCCCCTCTCAGGGCTTTCTCACAGCACACGCATCCGAAGGGCACATGCACCCCCATCACATGCGGCCCCACATCCCAACGCTCGCACAAGCTTCTCCTGCTCCCAGTCACACCCTCGGCTGCACCAGGACAACTGTCACAGGATGGCTCCCAACTCCTGCCTCAGAAGCAGCTCCTTCCACTCACTAAAGAGAGTGACAATGTCAGTGCGTGTCCTACATCAGGACTCCATAGAAGCTGCCGTGAGCCTCGGAGAGCCACATCCTAAACCAGCTGGAGACAAGACCAACTGTTTGGGGATGAGCCTCATGGGAACCAAGGCACACAGTCACAGAAACACACATACCCAGTACCCAAGAAGGAGCACTGAAGGAGGGGGAAATTTAAGACTACGTATATCTGCCCCAAAGAGAAGGAACATATCAGCGCCTGTTATTTGGTTCTGGAGGATAGGTGGCTGGTGAGATGCAACCATCTGTAGACAGAAATATCCACCACGGTTAAGACACCTAATAAACACCAGATGATGGCATTTTACATTAATGCTTAATTGGTCCCAATTCAAAAAGCTTGAAGATTTCTAAGCTAGTCAAAGAAAAAGATGTAATTTTCTTTGGATTTAATAACCTCGTAAGCAGCCAGGAACCAAGGCCTTGGAGCTGGATATTTGCCAAACTTGGTCCTTCTGCTCATTAACTGCAGGATTGAGCAAATAATTCAAACATTCTAGCCTCAGTTTCTTTATGTAAAAACTGTACTCCCCTCACAGGACTGTTGTGAAGCCAAAATGTTTTACTGACTGTACAGCACATCAAATAATCCTGGGAGTCCCTGGTGCACAGAAAACATAAATAGGTGTGACCTGTCAACCCCGTGAAAGCCATTTTCCCACGACAACCAGGCCCCCAACGGAGTCACCCACCTTCACTTTGCTGTTTTCTATCAAATGCTGAGCCATGGACTTTATCAGCACATCGAAGAAAAACCATGAGTACTGCAAGAAAAGAAGAAAACACAAAATGACGCACTGTTAGGAAAGAGGTGACCTCTCCTACACTGACAGTATTAGCAAAGACAAGCAAGTGTCGACCTTAAAACACACCACACCTCTGGCAGACACTCATAGATCCGGGGCGGGTGGCAGACGTCTGCTCCTTGTGCACACACAGCACATAGCCGGCCCCTGGGAGACGGAGCACCTCTCCAGCAAGAGGCACTGGTCATTCACGGTCTCTCCTCTGTCAACCTCCTGCTTAGTGACACGGTTTTTGCCATCTTTATCCGTGTCCCCCTCTGACTTCAAACAGGGACAATGTGACTTTGAATATGCTAATTCATTCTTTACGGCTCTCATCTGAGACCCAACTCGCAAACTGGGACTTGGAGAACTAACTCTGGTCTGCTGTGGGATAATGCTTTTGTACACTGATTTAATAAAACACTGACTGGCCAGTAGCCAGGCAGGAAGTATAGGCAGGATAAGCAGACAAGGAGAATTCTTGAGAAAGGCTGAGTCAGGAGACGCCAGCCCACCATCCAGGGAGCAGCATGTAATGGTACACAGGTAAAGCCACAGAACACGTGGCAACACATAGATTAACAGAAATGGGCTGAGTTTAAGTGTAAGAGCTAGTCAGTAGTTAGCCTGAGCTAATGGCTGAGTAGTTTTAATTAATATAAGCCTCGGTGTGTTTACTTGGATCTGAGCGGCTGTGGCCCAGGCGGGACACAGGAAAACCTTCAGCTACATTGGTCACTCAGATTTAACAGTGTTGTTGGTGGTAACTGTCTATCAACGCACACAAATAGGCTTAGCTGATTAGGCTATGAAATTTAACTTTTTTTTCCCTACATTTTTATATTTTTATTTAATAATATATAAAGTTATTTATATATTAAATGAATATATTTAAGAGAGAGTTTCAGCTCATGCTGATCACAACTCATCATGTAAGGAAGGATGTCTCTGATCCCCCTGACTGTTTCCCCAATTCTGAGATCATGGGTGTGAGCCACCACACCTGGTTTTCATTAATTGGTTTTTGAAAATAGTTAATTAGTAAAAATTAAAAAAAAAAAATTCCCAGATACAGTTCATGTTAACCAGGCTGGTCTCAAAATTGTGCACTCAAGGGACCTACAGGGTTTGGAAAGAGCCATGTTCCCCACTGGCTCACGCATTAACACTTGGTCTCCAGTTAGTGGTGCTGTTTGGGGACAGTATGGCATCTTGAGGAAGTGTGGCCTTGCTGGAGGCAGTATGCCACTGGATGTGAGCTTTGAGGGCTTACAGCCTTGCCTCACTGCCAGCTCGCCTCTCTCTCTCTCCCTCTCTCTCTCTCTCTGTCTCTCTCTCCCCC